AATCAGCTTCTTGGTACCATTCAATGAGACACATTCGCAAAACTAGCAGGGACCAGCACCTAAGTTTGCTGTCCTTCCAGAAAGGCAGGTGATGCAAATCCAAGCCTGTGGATATGAACAGGAAGGAGAAGGAGCAGAGAATTGCCTCATTTATTCTCGGCAGCCCTGAGCTCTCTAGAATAAATGGTAATGAATATTAGGGTCTACCATCCCTAAAAGCTGGGGGGAAACTTCTTTGACATGCAAATCAAAAGTGAAATATAACAACAATAGCTAGCATTTACAAAGCACTCTGAGGATTACAAAGCGCTGTACCTGTAAACTTCTTTGATCCTGATCAATATCAGATCTGATCAGTATCAGAACTGCTTTCTAAGCCAGGTAGATATTTTCCTAAGGGATGCTACTTAGTTTGTCGTGTTGGTACAGGTGGCTGGACATAAGGTTTAGGTTAAACATTTTGTTTAATTCACTATAATGACACTGAATTTCTCGTTTCTATAACATGTTTCCCAGGTTATAAAGTTTTCCCTGAGACCTCAATCAGGAGCATCAGACTCACTGGCTCCACACTGGAGAGGATCCTAGCTGATTGGCCACTCTGTCTAGTTACATAATTAGGATTTATGCCTCCAAGATTTCTTGGCTCTACATAAAGGGCAGCCACAGCAGGGTATGAATGAATTTTTACATTTATTTTTTAGAACCGAACAGGCATACAGCACAAAATTATTCTGAATTTATCTGATGCCATAGGCCGGTCATTCACTTGCATGTAAATACTTCTGATGGGGAATTTCCCTTGCCATATATTAAATACCTTTGTTTTCATTTACCTGTAAATGACACAACCGAAGAACCTGAAGAGACCAGTGGGATATAAGACTCCTGCCTCTTCAGTAATGCCCCTGAAATAACTTCTTACACTAGGTCATGTTCAAGTAATTTCTTTTTTTAATTTTTTTTTTATTGGCGAGGCAATTGAGGTTAAGTGACTTGCTCAGGGTCACATAGCTAGTAAGTGTCAAGTGTCTGGTCTGAGACCAGATTTGAACTCAGGTCCTCCTGACTCCAGGGCCAGTGCTCTATCTACTGCGTCACTTAGCTGCCCCCTCAAGTTCAATGTTCAAGTAATTTCTAAAATCAGCCTGTCTAGGTCAATGACACTGAAAAGAGAAATAGGTAGGCTGGTAACCCTCTTTCCTTAGTTCCAGAAAATCTTTCATCTACTTTACAGGATTTCAAAATGCTTTACCAAGAAGTAGCTTAGTTCTGTTACTAACGTGAACAAGTCAGAAATGCTCCTGTCCTCTCCTCTCCTTTGAAAGTTATCAAACCTTTTTCAGAGACTGATAGATAAGGTCTGAAGATGAAGAATGTGCTATCTTGTTCTTTCCTAATACTAAAAAATATTCTCTGCTGCAAGGACCACACCTAATGAGCTAGATGGCTCTTAAAAAGAAAAAAAAGTCTAAGAATTCAGCCCTGTCACATGATTTAAAAAAGAAACTCTCTGCAGTGAAAATCAATCCACAGAAATTAGGTCTCTTTTGTTCTCCAAAGGTGAAAGGCAGCTTGGAGGTCCAAATCCAACCCTATGACATAAAAGCCATGTGGTCCGGGGCAAATTCCTTTAACTGTCAGTAATTCAGGAAACCTAAGATTTCAAGTCATAGAATAGTCAGGGAAGGATTTTTTGACACCAGGATTTAATAATAGCTAACATTTATACGATGCTTACTATGTGCCAGGCACTGTGCTGAGTGCTTTACAATTATCTCACTTGATCCTTACTACAACCCTGGGAGACAGGCGCTATTATTAACCCCATTTTACAGATGAGGAAACTAAGGCAAACAGAAGTTAAGTGACTTGCCCAGGGTCACACCGTCAGTTAACTGTCTGAGGCCAGATCTGAGCCCAGGTCCTGTGTTCTCTGCACTACGGCGCCTCCTCGCTGCCGACTTAAATTGATGAAACTGTAAGTCCAGCCCCACATGCATCCTCTCTAATAGGATCATCGCTTCAGAGCTATGAGGGCTCTTAGGTCACCTCGTCCAACCTGAGAAAACTAAGGCCCAGAAAGGCTAAATGACCAGCCTGGGACCATATGGGTAGTGACAGAAGTGGTTTGCAACTGGTTCTTGGGCTCCAAGTCTAGCCCTTTTCCCATTAAGTATAACCTAAGGGCTCGCCACTAGGTGGTGCCATAGTGCACAAAGCATCAGCCTCGGAGTCAGGAAGACTCATCTTCCTATGTTCAAATCCAGCCTCAGACACTTACTAGTTGTGTGACCCTGGGCAAGTCACTTCACCCTGTTTGCTTCAGTTTCCTCATCTGTAAAATGAGCTGGAAAAGGAAATGGCAAACCACTCCAGTGTCTTTGCCAAGAAAACCCCAAATGGGGTCACAAAGAGTTGGACACAACTAAAAAACAATTGAACATAACCAAAGGGTATCCATCATCTCCAGTCTTTCCTCCTGAGACAAATTCAACTGGAATGCATTTGCCAATGTCACATAATGCAACGTGTGAAGAATCTGCTTTGCTAGACAATAACTAGGCCATGCACATTTTTTCCATCTCTATGATGTAATGCAAATTTCCCTTGGAAAGTCTAATCCTTTACTGGAAAATATGTAATATGACGGTTTTGCTTTATACAAAACTCCTAGCTAGCACTTAAATGTAATGTGCTGAGCAATATCTCACCAAAGCCCCAACATGGCTCTTTTTTTCTCCTGAGAATTGCAAACAAGTGCTGATGGGCATATCTAACTCAGTAAACTTCATTTCTTACTCCCATGGTATCTTTGGCATGTTTTGTTGCTGGTCAGAGATCGCCTCAAACACGCTGACATTTTTCCAGTAGCATTGTATCTGTGCTGGGATCAGCCTGACCCCTTATCACCACCTGGTTTTGGAAGCTACTACAGAGTTGAAAGGAAAAATATACCTTAGGAAAACTTAATGGCTAATTATCTCACATCTCAAAAGAGGATGATTAAGTAAATAAGCTTTAAATACAGTCATCACTCACTGAAGAAACTCTCATCTTTAATTAAAAAAAAAAACACAAACAAAACCCAAACCTAAACCCACAACATTTGTAGGCTAACATTTGTATTTTAAACCATATCTAGGCCAGTTTTCCTATACTACCTATTTTCTAGGTATCTGTTCTATACTATTCCACAGGAAATGACCTTCCTTCCCCCCCCCCCCGCCCAATTAGTAGGTTTTTTCAATCAGGGATCACCAAAGGAAATGCTCTCCGTACCATGAGGTCCTGGTGGACGTGCAGTACATGTCACTGTCATTCAATTTCTTTCTCTTCATTCAACACATCCCAGCACAAACTATTTAAATGCTGAGCCTTCTGCTTTGCGTGTGTGTGTGTGTGTGTGTGTGTGTGTGTGTGTGTGTTAAAAACACAGCTGAGAAAAGCAAAACAAATGGCATGTGTCAAGAAACACTGTTAGAATAACAAAGGCAAAGGAACTCTTGGAAACTGAAAAAACAGAACCGAGTAAAAAGGAAAACTGAGACTATCCAAGTCCAAGAATGCAACTTGGACTACATTAAGAGAGCTGCATCTCCCCAAATGTATTTTGTCTTTCAGAATGCTCCAATTAAGGTAGGTTTGTGCCCTGGATTTGCCAGTCACAGAAACAAAAACTTGGGACTTCAGGACCTATTCGTGGCTCTCACAGGATTTCTCTGCTACAACTGTTGGTTTTCAAAAGGCTGAGAATGAAGAATGACATTATGAAAGACAATGACTACTCTACACATATAATGGGCCCATCTGCCTAGGTTGAGTATGTACAGGTGCACACAACTGTGATCCCACTCAGGCGGCTCCTTCTGTCAACCGACTCATTACTCTGCTGACTGGCTCTGGACTCACAGCTGCTCCTTTATATTAGGGGGTGCATGAAGGACAGAGGAGAAAGTTGAGCTGGGATGAGAAACAGGGGGGCAGATACCCATCATGAAGTCATCTGTATGCCTTCAAGGACAGACGTGGGCAGGAGTTGATCTCTACCAGTTGTGGAAAAGGTGTTGCTTCAGTCATTGTCTGGGACAACTAGAATTCTTCCATTGGCCTGATGATGGTGGTCCATTCCTGTAGGTATCTAAACAGCACCCTTTCCACAGGAGTCTGAACCTTCTTCAGTGTAACAATCTGTAATTTCATTGTTGTGGATGACTCCTTCCCCCCATGCAGATCACAACCCCTTTTAAGGTTTTTTTTGATAGACTTTAAGCACTGCCATAGCAGAAGACCTGGTGATGAGCCTGTCTGAATTTAACTAAGCTTGTCCTTTGAAAACAGACATCACTAGGCTCATACTCAAGGCCCTTCTAGATTCCTAAGGACATCCAGAGATTATACCCTGCTAGTTTTGCCTTAGAAAACCTATCATCATCATTCATACCCAGAGGGAGACACTGGTAGAAAACAAAGTCTAAATTACAAAAATCTAAGATCAAAGGTTTTGCTGTTGTTTTGGTGGGCATGAGAAAAGTAACCTGAAACCTGACTTATGGCTTACGTGAGGGGTGGTTAAAGGAACAAGGTAACCTCTTCTTACAAGTGCTAAAAGTCCTTGGTAAAATCATATACTTACAAATCCCCCCCCACCTCCCAAAAAAGAAGGAGGAGAGGATTTAGGAAAGGAAACTAAAGACAAAGTGATATTGTTCCCAAGTCGAGTCCATAAGAGGACTTCTTTGAAAGATTCTTGTTCAAGACTGTTACTTCCTCATTATTCTAGAACAAAAGATAACACTCCCCCCCCCACCCCATAGAGTCTCTTTTAGCACATAGTGATTATATTTAGAAAAACATCCTTTCTGAATATTAATGAAGAAATTCTTGCAGGAAAAGACAAAGAAGAAACACTAACCAAGTTATATAGAAAAGCTAGCTGTTGTAGAAGGACAGATAGACTTGAAAGACGGGTGGAGTAAGACACAGAATTATACACTTACCTTGGTCTGGAATCACCATGTAATGGTGAGTCAGTAAGTGAATGACTCGGTGATGCTGGCTGCTTAGGTGAAGAAAGGGATACCCTGCGGATCTGCTTGGGAGACCTTGGCACATCACTGAATGAGGATTCTCGTCCAGAAAATGAAAAGGAGGGAGAACTATCAGCTGTAGGTGGCAAATCGCCAATATGGCCAATGGCACTCAATTCTTGTGCTCTTCTGTGATTTTCCACATTCAATAGCGCCTCCTTATCAAGAACACCATCATTCCCATGAAAGGCATAGTCCTTGGATTCAGCAGTGGTGCTCCTGGGCTCCACAGTCTCAATTCTAGAATAATGATAAGTCAAGTCTTTGCTCTCCTCCTTCTGTTTCTCACTTTTGCCTCCCCTCCTCTCGACATCATGATCCTTCCTGGTCTTAGTGTAACGTGATAGATATTCAGAGTCTGCATCTGAATCTAGGGTTAGCCCATATTTCTCAGCAAGCTGTCTCCTCCTTTCAGCCTTATATCTGGCTATTCTTTCAGCTTTGGAGTCCAGTCCCTGGGTGTCCATGGTCACTGGGCTATAGGAGGACTCTGTATTGAGGGCTGTAGTTTCTATGCAATATTGGGATCGAGGCTGTTTCTCTACAGAAGAGTCTGAAGTTTCCTCCTCTTCATTGGATCGACCTGCAGGGTCATAGGGTTAGACATGTAGCATAAGAACAACGGAAAATTCATGGGCAAGGGGCTGTAATTAAGGAAGAATTACTACATACAACACAAGCTCATAGCCCTGGGTGAGGAAGTATCAGCTTGTTTATTTGAACAGATTTAGTTAAAACACTGTACTCTTGTCAACCCAAGAATTTTTAGGTGAAGACTCCAATAGATAAAACAATACTGTGTGGTCAAAAGAGCACTGAATGGGAAATAAGAGAACCTTGATCAGGATCCTACTTGTGTGGCCTTGAGGCTATCACTTCACATGGCTACACCTCAGTTGACTTTTTTGTAAAATGAGTGGATTACAATTCATGACCTCTAAGATCCCTCTAAGCCCTAAGTCCTACCCATCCCATTTTGGCCTATATGCACCACTCCAAAAGTACAAACCTCTGAAAGTTTTCTGTACCTAGAAATAGGCTGACTGGTGTCATGGAAAGGGGGCTGGACTTGAAGCCAGGAAAAACTAGGACCTGAATCCTGCCCCTGAACTCATTAGCTGGGTGACCATGTGGGCAAGTCATTTCATTTCTCTGATCCTCAGTTTCCTTATTTATGGTTTTGTGTTTTTTTTTTTGGCTAGGCAATGGGGTTAAGTGACTTGCCCAGGGTCACAAAGCTAGTAAGTGTTACGTGTCTGAGGCCGGATTTGAACTCAGGTCCTCCTGAATCCAGGGCCGGTGCTCTATCTACTGTGCCCCTAGCTGCCCCAGTTTCCTTATTTATGAAGCAAGATTAATAACATCTGAAGATCTCACCTTGTAGGGCTTTTGGAAGGACCAAATGAGGCAACATACGTGAAGTGTTAAGAAAACGTTGCGGTGCCATGTAATTGCCAGTTATCACCTTCCCCATCATTACATACACATCACAAGCTCAGTGGGGACGCTTTCAAGATAAAGGTCAGGCTTTCAAGGAAGAGAAGAGAATGAGCTCATGCTCCTGGCATATCTGTACCCTCTCCAGACCCCCCCAACCCCCATCCTGCCTCACAACTCATGAAGAGATCAAGGAGATCCCAAAGAGTAAGGCAGACATGAACCAAAATGAAAACATGTGACTCATGGCAGTTGGGAAGGAAGATCTGGCAAGGTCTGTTTTGCCATTTAAATTCGACATATAATAAGTCCACTACCTATAATGTGCGTGGGTGACTACAGATTCCTCTGAATAATTTCCAATCACAGAGAAAAAGCAGGGTTTATTTTTTGGCGAATAGAATTTCTATTCTGACTCAAAGAACTAATTTCTTTTTAGAATTTTTAATTGATATCTCTTATTTTTTGTATCCCTAAGAATACATTTCTAAAATGATATATCTGGAGTGGCTAGGTGGCATAGTGGATAGAACACTAGCGCTGGAGTCAGGAGCACCTGAATTCAAACCCAGCCTAAGATACTTACTAGTTGTATGACCCTGGGAAAGTCACCTAACCCTGATTGCCTCTTCTCCCCCTAAAAAATAAAATGACATATCATTCTTTCAAAAGAAAAAAGGGGAGAGTAAAACAATGAGTGCAACAAATTAAATTGTGCATTAGTTTGAACTCCAGTGTCAGCATAGTTTTAATTGTTTCTATGCTACTTATTCCCTGCGTGACCTTAGGTAAGTCACTTAAGCTTTTGGCCTTAGTTTCTTCATCTATACAATGAGGAGGTTACACTAGGTAACGTAGGAACTTTCTTCAAAATCTAAATCATAGTGTAATTCAATTTAACAAACAGTTATTAAGCATGTAAAACATGCCAGGCACTGTGTTAGGTACTCATTAGACAAAAAATAAAAACAAAAACAAACAAAAGATATGTTTCTGTCTTCAAGGAGCTTACATTGGGCTTAGGAGTAGATATATGGATAAAAATATAAAATCTATCCAAAATGATTTAGAGTCATCAAATCTCTACATTGCTGAACACACAAGAGTAAGTGCATTCTATAAGATGTTAAAAAATCTAAATCACAGGACCACAGATTTAGAACTGGACCTCATCCAACCCTCTCATGATAACTTCCCCAAGGTCACAGAGGCAGTGGACAGGGGCTGAGTTTCAATCCAGGCCTCTTGGTCCTAAATCCTTTCCACTGAACCTTGCTACCCCTTATAATTCTGACCCTGATATCTCTTAGATTTTGATTAAAAATGGGTAAAGAAAAATGTTAAGTTTTGTTAGCCAAGGAGGGTGAGCTTTATTTGTCTTGGAGAGACACTTAAAGCAAAGAACTGCGTTCTTCAGCTGCATAAGAACAAGGTGGTTCTGTGCTGCGCCATCTGATGGAAAGCTAATGCTTACCAATATGAGGGCTGTAAGGGTCTGTGGCTCGCGTGTATCTGGGAGTGTCTTCTTCTAGTAATCGGTGGGTAACTAATCCGGTACAGCTCTGCAAAAGTAGGGGCTGTGAATCATTTTCAATTCCTTCCAAGCGTCTGGCAATGCGTTCTTTTCTGTGAAATACACCCAGAAAAGCATAATGAGTAATATACATCAAGCAAGAAGTAAACCTGTGCCCAGATAGTCAACCTCCTCATGAAAAAGCCACAAATATGTTACCTCTTCATTTCTAAAACTTCTTTTCTCTTTGGCTCAAAGAGTTTTCTTAATTCTGCAACTAAAAACAGAAAATACAACTAAGATTAGTCTTTAACCATCACAAATTACAGGATATGTGTTGAGGCCAGGGTAAGCTGCTATTACAGCAGAGGTCTTACCTTTTGGGGGAGGGGGGAAAGGTTCTCCCTGTCTTGTCTTGGGATGGAACTAGAGCAGACAGTCATAGGCCTGACTCCACTGCTCATCAGCATGGAAGCTTTCTGACCTGGTTGGGCTCTCCCCTCATTAGGCAGCCGAGTGATTGCCTGCTCACAGGGCTTGCCATTTTGGTGTCGGACTTGGTGTCCTCCTAGGTCTCAAACCTACCACAGCTCAGAACTCCTGAGCTCAATCCTCAATTGGCCTCAGCCTCCTCAGGTAGGAGGGACTACAGACATATGTCTGTCTATGCTCAGTGAGATTTAACTTTTTAATCATCATGCCCAAGAGTTAGTGCTGGAGATGAAGTGATTATCAGCTATACATAAATAATTATTATCACCCAATCAGCCTTGATTCTCCATGTCATCACTGCCCTTGGCCCCCTCTGATTGGAGGATGGAGCCATGAACTCTAAAACTTCCATTGGAGGAGAGAAGCCAGGTAAGAACATCTCAATTCTCACCTGGCCCCGCTACTCCAGGACTTTTCCAACTATACCACATGCTATGCTCCCACACATGGAACCTTCTCACAGCCCCACCAGCCCCAAAGTGCCCCTCCCCCACCTTTTGTGTGTGGTTTACCCACATTAGAGTGTAAGTTCCTTGAAGGAAGAGATTGTCTTTTTTTTCCCCCCCTTTGGTATTTGTATCTCTACTGCCTGGCACGATTTAGGTGTTAGTAAATGTTTGTTGACTATCCCTTTGGCATTCATTAACTCATTCATTCATTCAATCAATGCAAAATACCTTCTGTATAGAGAGTACTATGGGGTAGAATAAAAGTTTAGATAAGACATAGACTTTAATGGTGCTTATAGCATAATGGGAGAATGTATACACACACCAATAATTTGAATACAGAATATTACCTGACAAGTACATTAAAAGGTTACAAAATAAAATACCATACAGCACCTGAAGGAAAGTTCACGTCCACCTGAAGGGATGGGTCAGTGACAGTGTCATTTGGGCTGGGGTTTAAAGATAGAATATAGCAGATAGAGATGATAGGTAGACAAAGTAGTGCCGTTACACTAGTAGTGCACGTTAGAAGGGGAAAAGGTTGAGAGGGATAAACATATAGACAGAATGGAAAGATAGAATGGGTGGAGAGATAGACAATGGATACATAGAATGGATGGAGAACGTATAGGTAGGTAGGCAGATAGAATGATACATAGAATGGATGGAGAATGGATAGGTAGGTAGGAAGGTAGGTAGGTAGGCAGATAGAATGATAGATAGAATGGATAGATAGGTAGGAGGGTAGGTAGGCAGGCAGATAGAATGATAGATAGAATGAATAGAGAATGGATAGGTAGGTAGGAAGGTAGGTAGGCAGACAGATAGAATGGATAGACAATGGATTGGTAGGTAGGAAGGTAGGTAGGTAGGTAGGCAGATAGAATAGAGAATGGATAGGTAGGTAGGCAGATAGAATGAGAGATAGAACGCATGGAGAATGGATAGGTAGGTAGGAAGGTAGGTACGTAGGCAGATAGAATGATAGATAGAATGGATAGAGAATGGATAGGTGGGCAGGTAGGAAGGTAGGCAGGCAGGCAGATAGAATGATAGACAGAATGGACAGAGAATGGATAGGTGGGCAGGTAGGAAGGTAGGCAGGCAGGCAGATAGAATGATAGATAGAATGGACAGAGAATGGATAGATGGGTAGGAAGGTAGGTAAGCGGGCAGACAGAATGATAGATAGAATGAATAGAGAATGGATAGGTAGGTAGGAAGGTAGGTAGGTAGGCAGATAGAATGAGAGATAGAATGGATGGAGAATGGATAGGTAGGTAGGAAGGTAGGGAGGTAGATAGAATGATAGAATGGATAGAGAATGGATAGGTAGGTAGAAAGGTAGGTAGGCAGGCAGATAGAATGATAGCTAGAATGGATGGAGAATGGATAGGTAGGTAGGTAGGCAGGCAGATAGAATGAACAGAGAATGGATAGGTAGGTAGGGAGGTAGGTAGGCAGATAGAATGAGAGACAGAATGGACGGAGAATGGATAGGTAGGTAGGAAGGTAGGTACATAGGCAGATAGAACGATAGATAGAATGGATAGAGAATGGATAGGTGGGCAGGTAGGAAGGTAGGCAGTCAGGCAGATAGAATGATAGAATGGATGGAGAATGGATAGGTAGGTAGGAAGGTAGGCAGGCAGATAGAATGATAGAATGGATAGAGAATGGATAGGTAGGTAGGTAGGTAGGCAGACAGAATGATATGGAGAATGGATAGGTAGATAGGAAGGTAGGTAGACAGGTAGGCATATAGAACGATAGAATGGATAGAGAATGGATAGGTAGGTAGGAAGGGTAGGGAGGTAGACAGATAGAATGATACATAGAATGGATGGAGAATGGATAGGAAGGTAGGCAGATAGAATGATAGAATAGATGGAGAATGGATAGGTAGGTAGGAAGGTAGGTAAGCAGACAGACAGAATGATACATAGAATGGATGGAGAATGGATAGGTAGGTAGGAAGGTAGGGAGGTAGGCAGAATGATAGAATGGATACAGACAGAGAGAGCAGAAGGATGGATAGATAGATATGGCACTTACTAGTTACGCTACTACAAGCAAGCAAGACATTTGCTTCACTCACAAATCTTGCTTTCTAAGGTGGGAGAGTGGAGACAACATAAAGAGGAGGCAGAAATCAGGAGTTGGTTAGACATGGAGACCGAGTGTAGAGATGGCCAGAGAGTACTCCGGAGGCCTGGATCTCCGCAAGATAAGGTGGAAGCTCATCTAACAAGCCCAAAGTGTTTACAAAAGCAGAGTCTGATTTTATAACAGGGAAGAGGTGGAAATGAAGGCCTAGACAGAGACCTCATGGGTGCAGAGCCATGGGCCAGGAGCTGGAGGGACTTGCCCAAGGTCACACAGGTGGTAAGCTGCACAGCCAGAGGCAAAACCAAAATTTTCACACTATAAATCGAATGCTCCAAGATGTCTTGCTGTCTCTTTAGCAAGTACTCATGCATGGCAATATGGTTATCAAACACCTCTAGACATACTGTCACAAGGAAGGATATTAACCTTTATTTCTTACCTTAGCTAATTATCTTAATAATTCCAAACTTTTTTTTTGCCATTATTCAAGGCCCTTCACAATCTAACAGCTCCATACCTTTTTTTTTTTTGGATGTCTGTTTTGTTTTTTGTTTTTGTTAGGCAATGGGGTTAAGTGACTTGCCCAGGGTCACACAGCTAGTAAGTGTTATGTGTCTGAGGCTGGATTTGAACTCAGGTCATCCTGAATCCAGGGCTGCTGCTCTATCCACTGCACCACCTAGCTGCCCCATACCTTTCCAAATGTATTTTATGCCTAGCCATCTCCATGTTATGCGGTTTTTGTCTAGGCTCTTATCTCTATCTCCTCCTGACTGTAAAACGACTACACCCCTGGAATCACCTTTGGGCCTTGACAGCAAGCTCCAGCCTTATCTTGCTAGGATCCAGGTCTTCAAAGTACTTTCTAATTATCCAGCTTATAACACAGACTTGTAATTACTGAACATCAGTAATTCAAATGCTGATACTACGCTAATTCAATGAACAGTGCTAGGTGCTTCCAAACTGTTAAATAATTATACAGGAAATGGCCAAATACAGTGGAGTGAAGTGATGCTCACATATGGTTTATAAGGATGTATATATCTAAGGCATCCTAAATTCTGAAAGCTCTGTGATGTTAAATGTAATGGCTGTGATAAAAGATTAAGGAAAGAGGGAGGGGAAGAAAAAGAGAGAACTCTGGAACAATCATAAGTCTTGAAGGAATAAATCCCTGGGAGAGATTTTATAGAATATATGGAATTTCTGTTTTCATTTTGCTATTTATTTGTAAGTACCCATTTTTAGAAACAAGCAACTCCCTAAACACACACACATATACACACACACCCCATATGATGCTTTCTCACTGTATACATAAATATACCAACTCATAAAAAAAGTAAGCACCCAAGACTTTGATTGAACTGGTCATTCTTTAGTAGGGTGGTTAGCAAAAAAGGTCATTTTTCATTTACCTTCCTAGGAAGTGGAGCAGCTGGAGGAAAGAAGTACTTTCTCATAAATATACTATTTATGTTCCCAATTAAGAGAAAGGGACACAATCTAGCATTGTGGTATTTTTCCACAGGGGATGGGACTTTTGGCTACTGCAAGTAGGGTAAAGGCTTCTGAAAAATTTAATGGCTGGTAATTTGAAAACAAACTATTATTTGTAAGGTCAAAATATCAAAACCACGTGATTTTAATTAGATTTCTTTAAATCTAAAGCAGGACATGATGAGAGTAATTTTCTTTAAAAAATGTTACAACTAGTTCTCCCCATTTCTCCCAGGCTAGAATTCAAGGGCTACTCATGGTCCCTTATCTCACTATTGACGGGCAATGGAACCCTTGACCTGTTCCATTTCTGACCTAAGCTGATTTGCAATTCCTTAGACAATCTAGTGATCCTTCATTCCCAGGGTCTCGACCACACTGATGCTAAACTTGGTGAGGACATCAACTAGAACCTTTAGCTCCATCTGCCAGCCTCAAGGTCCTTAGTAAGCACCACCACATCCAGTGTTACAGTAACATTCATAAAGGTATTTAAACTGAACTCAAAATGCTCCTAAGCATGGCTTTGTCAATACCACATTAAACAGGGGCAGCTAGGTGGCAGTGGATAGAGCACTGGCCCTAGAGTCAGGAGGACCTGAGTTCAAATCTGGCCTCAGGCACTTATTAGCTGTGTGACCCTGGGCAAATAAATCACTTAACCCCAACTGCCTCAAAGAACCAACCAAACAAAAAAAAATAAAACCATAACACTAAACAG